AAGTGATATAGCTGCAGTTTTTCTGTTTCTTTTTATTTGAAGAAGAACATTTGATTGGAGGGTTGGTTAAAAGGATTCACGCTGTGCACACAATCAAATACATTGTTCATCAAAGCTTACATACAAGAAGAAGAAGAAGAACACACACCCACAAAACTATAAATTCCCATATGTTATAAAATGCTATGTCTGAGACATGTTCATATTTACTGCAATCAAAAATGAGTGCATATCAATCAATATACAAAGAAAAAAGGACTAAGTCAATTTGGCAGAAAAATGCTGATAGTTAAAGTCTATATTGGTTTATCAGTTAAAGACTGTCGTCTGCCAAAAATCAGGTATTGTAGGTAAAATTAAGAAAAATACAATAAATAAATCTTTGCGAATTTGTTGCTGGTAACTCTAAAGTTCTAGCACAAGAAGTGTTATATCTTTTTTTGTGGCTATTGCAGATTGGGTTTCTTTACAAAAAATTATCATTATAGGTCCACGTACAGGTCGCATTTAAAGTTTTGTCGGAATCGGTACAGATTTAGATATAGCTCCCATATAGATTTTCGTCCAATTTTATGTAAATATAGCAGCAAACTGATTATGTTTTCCAATTGAGACAAAAATTTGAACAGCGTATAGCTCTCATAAATATTTTCGTTTGATTTCATATAAATGGTGTACCAAACACCCACTGTGTTTGTACGATTGAGACACAATTTTACAATTTAGCGTATTGAAGTGAGTCTGGAATGTTGTGTCTTCAGTTTTGTTGAAATCGGTTCAGATTTAGATATAGCTCACGTATATAATTTCGTCCGATTTTATGCCAAAGGTGCACCGAGGAGCCTATGTTTGTTCACATAACATGAAATATTGGATTGACATATGTTCAGGTTTAGATATAGCTTCCATGTATAATTTCATCCAATTTAATCTAAATTGTATGCACAATAACTACAATTCGTCCGATTGTGACGAATTTGTGCACATCGTACCAAATGGAACCTAGAATAACTCGTATTGGATATTTTATCAAATATGCACAGATTCCACATTTAGTTCCATTTAGCACTTTTCGAACGCATAAGTACACATTTTCAAAACTACCTCCAGTTAGTTAGTACCAAAAACCCTTTGCTACTTCTTTCTAACTCTCCGTCAGTGACCCACATTCCAAATTTTAGATTTCCAGCTCTCTCCGTTACCCAAATCCAAATTTACTGCATTTGCTATTCTATTTACTATTCGTACACATAAATTCTAGTTTCCAAAGTAATCTTCATAGCCTACTACTTCACTTCAACAGTAATCCAAATTCCAAATATCAGGATTCAACTATATCAAAATAGTTCAAAATTATGTACCATTTTGTACTTTTCATACTCATAAGTAAGTATTTATAAAACGACAATAATCTATCACTCTAACAGTAATCTTAATTCCACCAAAGTCCATATTGTACCAAATTTAGTACTTTCCGTATTCATAAGAACAAATTTCAAAGGTACCTTAGTTTTGCTTTCAAATAGTAATCGTAAGTCCAAAGTTAATAATTTCAGCTCTGTCTGTTCGCCAAAAACCAAATTGTACCACATTTGGTACCATTCTGTACTTTTTGTATCCATATTCCAAACCTATATCAATCCTACACTCCCACAGTAACCAAAGTTGCAACTTGCAGGATTCGAATTCCAAATTGTACCAAATTTTGTCCTTTTCGTACCCATAAGTACGAATATTCAAAACTATCTCAGTCATGAACACCATTAATAACATTAAGTCCACATTTAAGGAATCCAGCTCTATCCGTTCACCAACATCCAAATTATACCAAATTTAGTACCATTTTTTTACTTTTCGTAGACGTAAGTACGATATTCTAAAACATACTCAATTCCATAATCCAACAGTAATTTTAATCATAAATTTCAGGATCCCAGCCCTATCCGTTCCTATAGATCCAAATTATACCATATTTAGTACCATTTAGTACTTTTCGTACTTATGAGTTTGAATTTCCAACAATGTCTCAATCCTGTACTTTAACAGTAATTTTATTTTAAAATATAACATAAAATATAATCACACAAAACGAATTGTACCATTTATTTAGTACCATTTAGTGCCTCCCGTATCCATAAGTACGAAATTCCAATACTTCCTTAATCCTGTAATATTCATTCCAAATTTAAGTATTTCTCTATTCACTCTAATATAAATTGTACCCAATTTTGTACCAATTAGTACACATAATTTTGAAAACTCAATCCTGCACTCCAACTGTAATATTAATTCAAAATTTCAGGATCACAACCGTAACCGTACACACAAAAACAATTTGTAAACTATTTGGTACCATTTAGTACTTTTTGTTTCTATAATTAACAATTTCTTAAACTACCTCAATCCTAGACTCCAACAATAATTTTAATTCCGAAATTCTGGAGTTCAGCTCTATCCGATCACACATAATCAAGTTGTACCAAATATAGTACTATTTAGTACACATATGTACTATGCTTCCATACCTCACTTCTATAATCCAACAGCAACCATTATTCCACATTTTAGGATTCCTGCTCTCTCCTTCACCCAAATTGTACCAATCCTAGTGCCGTTTAGTACTTTTCGTACACATAAATACGAATTTAAAAGATGTATCTATAGCTTAATCTTCAACAGTAATCTTTATTCCAAATTTCAGGGTTTAAGCTCTATCCTTTCAAGCAAAATCCAAATTGTACTAAATTTAGTACTTTTAGCAACAATAAGTACGAATTTCGTAAACTAATTCAATCCTACATTCCAATAGTCATTTTAAATCCCCATTTGAAGACTCCAGCTCTATCTGTTCACGTAAATCCAACATGCATGCATATCACTTAGTACTTTTCGTACACATTAGTAAGATTTCTAAAAGCTGCCTCAATCCTGTACTCCAGTAGTAGAGCTAGTTCATATTTTCAGTATTCCATCTCTATACACTCAACTAAATGGAAATAGTACCAAATTCAGTACCATTTCGTACTTTTTATACACATACGTTCGAATGTCCTAAACCATTTCCGTACATCGACACCACTTCCCAAACTGTATTCCATTTAAGATTCTAGCTATATATGTTCAAAATATATACAATTAGAACTAAATTTAGTAAAGTTTAGTACTTTTCGTACACTTTTAGATCGAATTTTCAAAAATCCTTTTGTACATCTTTCTAACTTTCCAACAGTGACCAACATTCCAAATTTCAGAATTCTAGCTCTTCCCGTTCGCCGAATACAAAGGGTACCATATTTGGTACATTTTAGTACTTTTCGTACCCTTCTAGTTCGAATTTCCAAAAACCCAGCCTTATCTCACGCCTACACACCAACACAACCCACACACAAAATTTCAAGCATCTAGCTTTAACCGTTTCGTCTGGGCGATGATCTGTCAGTCCCTCACTCACTCACTTAGTGTTAGCTCTTTTATATATAATCTATATTGTCGTCTGAGTTCATGCAAAATAAGCACCAAATAATAAATGCTTTCCCGATATAGTTAAATTTTGGACAGCGCATTGGTACTCAATTTTTCATAGATTACCGAATGGTATGTGTATCATCCAAAGATGATATATCTGTTCTATCTACAGGATATTGTAAATTTCATCATCTCTTGTATGTACCCAAAGTGGTGAAAATTATCATATAGTCGGCCATCATAAATTTTGTTATAATCAAATAGTATTTCGTGTGTTGGTGTTGTCCTCGTAAAACTGTATTCCACCATAGAATTGGGGATATTCTGAACACTAAATTGTTTGAGTATATACTACAATGTATGGTGTGGTAAGAGCCATTAAATTATGTTTCGGTATTTTAAATGTTAAACATGACGGACACATCAATACTTCTTGATTTTCGACATTTCGTACTATATGTATTCATATATTCAATATTGCTCCCTTTAGAAGTATTGTGAGGATTTTATACACATGTTCTACCATACGTTATCAATACCGGTCCACGTTTTGAAGTTTTGAACAAATCGAAATATTCACCGCAAATATTCCCTACATTTTTAAAATTCCATGTCCTTGTCATTTATAGCGCTCCTAGATAATATATTAATATAAATTAATTAATTCGTTAAATTAATTAACGAAGTTAGTACATTTCGTCCTGCCAACAATGACTTAGTAACGTGGTACATAGGGATTGATATGATTATTTGTGAAATGTGATACCAGGCGTTTAGCACTGCCACTGACTTGCTGTTGTTGTGCTTGTTGTTGCTTTCGCTTTACTATTGTTAAGAAATCAACAATAGCTTATTGAATCGAGTGCTAAAAGATGTTGGAAGTAAGAATTTTATTATTCCCACATAAAAACGAAATCACAATACCGAAGATGATATGAATGTCGTCTATATGAATTAAGATGTTGGTTGATGCACACACAATGACATTTTGAGGTAGTCGTAACATCCTGCCTGACTGTCTGTTAGTCAGTCAGACTGCATCGTTGCTGTTCATTCCTGCTGATCGATTTGATTGGATGAGGAATGTATGGTTTTGGTATTTTTGTCATTTTGATTGAATGATGTCGTTTATTATATTACAAAATACATCTTTTAATATTATGGACCGTATTAAAGGGAGATTCAAATAGAATTGAACAATGTTTTTATATAGTTTTATTAAAACAAAATTAAATAACAAAGGTGTTTTGTTGGAACTTTAATTGAAAATTGCATTCATAGAACAGGAAGGAAATTGTCGGTACTCTTACGATATTTCAAATTAGGTCGAAAGTATTGGAATAGAAGAGCACAAGTGGTAGAAATATCATAATTTTCTGCCAGAATCCCCAATCTTAAGAAAATTTAAATTTTTAAATTTGTAAATAATGAGCTCACAAACTTAATTAATTTTTTGTTTTTTTTTTCTTCTTTTTTTGAAAATTACTTTTACTTGAAATAATATGACAAGGTGAATATGAAATAAATACGTGAAGTGAAGAAAGACCACGTTTGTCATTTTCTTCTTATTCTTAGCATAAATACTACTTTTATGACTATTAATGCAGAAAAATCCTTCGCAAATAAAGGATATGCCAAATATTGAAATTTTGTAAAGATATTAAAAGTTCAAAATATTCACACAATTCGCAGAATTTTCCCATTATTACCAATGACGTCAAAGGCACGTATATTTGAAGTTCATCACCTTGGGTATATTCAACAGATGGAATCCTAACAGACGTGGCATTTTTGAAGGACCATTAACATGAAATTAAACATGTCATTCTGCATCCTATATTAAATTTGTTCAGATATACAGTTGTTTCTAACAATGGGACAAAATTATGTAAATAAATTTAAAACAAAATATCGAAATCTAAACCGATTTTTTCGTAACTTGTCACATGTTAGGGTACACACATTTTGAGTTCTTCATTTACTTATAAATCCAAATTTCGTGCAAATGGAAGGATATATAGGGACTTTGGTGTATAATTTACAAAAAATCGAACGAAAATATATATGAGAGCTATATCTAAGTCTGAACCGATTTTCACGAAATTTAACTCTGTACCCTATCCCAAATTTCGTGCAAATCGAAAGATATATAGGGACTTTGGTGCCATGTCCATTTACGTAAAATCGGAAGAAAATATATGGGAGCTATATTTAAATCTGAATTGATTTTTACGAAATTTAACACACATCTTTCTAGACTTAATTAAGAAGAATTTATAGGGACTTTGGTGCACCATTTACATAGAATCGGACGAAAATATATATGGGAACTATATCTAAATCTGAACCGATTTTTCCCAATTTCAATAGTATTCGTCGTTAGAAAGTTAGAAGGTGTTTCTATGCATATTATCAAAAGGAACTATGTGTCTATCTTGTTTCCTTTTGCCTGTTATAAACATATGCACCGCAGTGTGGTTAAGGGATGGAATTGGATGTGAAATCTCGTACCAAAGACTATCAATATTGATTTAGGTTACGGAGTAGGCCCAACTTAAAAGGTTCCCCTGTTATTTGGTAGTTTGGGAATTTTGAGCACATTTTTCAAAAACATTTAACATTAAGACAATAATTCAAAAAAAGTACGATTTCATGTTATTTAGTTTTTTTCTGTTATTTGATCCGCCATCTTGTATTTATTTTATATGATTTTCAAATATGATTTCACATTTGTAATTAGTGGCCATAGATCTACAAAACCTATATAAAAATAAGTTGATTTTATCGGTTTAGATTTAGATATAGCTCACCTATATTTTCGTTCAATTTCACCAAACTTCCAAGGGTTGCCCGATTAAGACAACATTTGGAATAGCATGCCATATTGAGCCTAGAATAATGTGTGGTATGTGACGTTTAAATAATTTTATATGTAATTGCATATATAATTTCGGCCATTTTGAAGTAAATTTTGCACCAAAGATATTATGATTGTCCGACTTACACGAAAAAATGCAATGATACTGAACTGAGCATATGACCGGTTGAGAGGAATATGCTAATAGACAGCGGGATGACATATTTCGGTATTTTAAACGTTTTAGCTGGATTCTCCCACCGAAGTAATTTGGTATTCCGAAATCTTGGAATATGAATATATATCATCTCTGAGGAGATTTTCAATATAATACCACGTTTTGGTATTGTTCACATCTAAAGGTCCCGCCATTTTTTAAATCTCTCAGACAATTTTCCGAATAAGCCCCCCGTATAAAGATTCCGGTACTCTTCCATAATTTGTAGGGTTTAGGTTTCGCCGAAGTGGCTGTGATTTTGTATTTCGGGTTTTTTTGTATTTTGAAATTCCTAGCCCAGTTTCTGTCTGTAGTTTGTAATTTCATTTAATGAGACCATGAAGAACGTACTAGCATACAATCCAATAAAATTGTCTCCATTTAACCTGTGTAGTGAATTCGGCTCATAGGATAATGTATTTTTCCCCTCATTTACAAACGCTCAATAGGAAAACTTATTTCATATCCCCCGATCTTCATTACATCAGAAGTTTTAACAACCAAATTTCGAAGCAGCTTCTGTGAAAATAACTTTTTGACATGTCCAATTAAAAATATTACAATTTCGTTCATGCTAGTCATCTTGCTATTGAAATATTCTGAGAGAGTTCTGTTGTTCCTATTAAGAGTATAATATGTTATCGATTAATATGTTGTTGTTAAAAATTCTGCTCTGAGTTTTCACCACGAAAAAACTTAAAAAAAAACTTTCGAATTGAAATATTTGTATATGCTACTCACTTACCACAAATTGAGCACATTTTATATACATACATACATAAAATAATAATAGATACAAAACTATTTTGGCTTTTTTAATTTTGAACACAATTGTTTTCAATATTTAGCACTGCTTTAACGTCTTTATTCTCCTCCTTGCTTCCACTTTCTGTAGCTTTCGATGTCTTAGGGTATATTTCAATATTTGCTGAAAAATTATGAGTATACCACCAGCGATGGACATAAACACACACAACACATCCAGTGAATGGTATATGAAAAAACTGTAAATAAAAACCATTAGATTATAAGCCTATCTATCTCCAGTTAACGTCAACTTCTAACAAACCTCATATTCCGCACTGGCGATTGTAAGTGCGACACATCCTTGTGCTTCATTACATATTCTGCCCAATAAATTGCTGTGGCCATCGGTTTTGTCATCTGATCCAATAACAATTGACTTTTCTCGTGGATTTTTCTTTTGTATTTGTCATTGTTTATAATGGCCATTATGGCCTGGTAGAGTTTATCTGCCGTTATCGTTTCGAGCGGTAAACGTATAGCATAGCCATCCGATTCGGCTTTGGCTGCATTTACATCGTGGTCACAGAATACGGGCAGCATGACCATAGGTACCGCATGATAAATGGCTTCGTACATGCTAAGCAGACCACCATGTGTGACGAAAGCCTTCAACTTCCGGTGGCCTAATATGTCCTGTTGCGGCAACCAACCACTCAAACGAACATTCCTGCTGATGCCGCTCATATTTTGATGAGGCCCATTGGGCAATATTGGCGCTCTCAACTGGTCACCGGTTGTAGTGCCGTTTCCATCCCACTTCCAAAGAACATGATATTGTGGTAAACGCGAAAATACTTCGATGAGCATGTGACGGAACTCTTCGGGCATATTTGCTGCCCTCACCGATGAGCCCATTGAGAAAAATATCACACCCGCCGGAGCTGTTTCCATGAACTGCTCCAGGTCTTGCGGTAATTTGCCAGCAGGCCTGCAGTGTAGACAAGCAATTTCGATAACGTTCGGATAGTAGGGGCGGGCGTATGTTATGCTGGCATGACCGTTCTGCAGGATGATGGAAACGTTGCGCATCAATGCATAAGGATGAGGTATGCTGGTGCTAAAGTGTTGGATTAGAACTGCATGCACCTGATTACTATAGAACTGTTGTTGTTGTTTTTGACCAATGAAATTGGAGACATGAAAAGAAACGAGATGAAAAATCAGAAATCTTCTTTTCAGTATTCAATTGCCAAATTGATATTATGAACTAAATTAAATTGATTGATACCTCTCCGCAACGAATTGACAGTGTTTATGTATTTTTGGCAAAATTCCGTCAAACTAACGGAGAATTAAATTCTTCAGTGGCTATAATGCAAAATGAGCAAATTGCATGTACGGATGTTGAAAATTTCGTTTGATTTGTTTATATGATGATTTTCGAAAAAAATTCTTAAGTAGTGGTTTTCATAAAAAATAATATAAATAAGATTTTTTAAGAACAAGAATTTGCAATGTATGAAAATTTGAAAAAGAGCAAAATGGAATATAATACCCTGCACAACTATAGCAATACACTAAGGGGTTCCTAAGACTATTATTGTAACCTATAAAGATGTACAAGCCTAAACCAGTAAGGACCTGTAAGGAAAGTAGTAAAATTGCATGTCAATTTCATTTTGGCAGATTTTTAGTCGTTTGTGTACAATGGGACATGTTTATGGAAATGGCAAACTTGATACACGCTATTCACCATGCCGCACTATTAAAAATTTAATCTCAATCAGACACCCGTTCGAAATAAATATTTATGCTATAACGTCATTCTAATCTCAATTTGATACGATGTGCAAAATTTCGTGTCAATTGGACAAACATTAGGTGTTTGGTGCACCTAAAGTCGGGGATCTAAATAAATATGTGGGAGCTCTATCTAAATCGTAACCACTTTCGTAAAAACTTAGCACACATCATTCTATGACAATTTTTGTGCAAATCGAAAGATATATAGGGACTTTGGTGCACCATTTACATAAAATCGGAGCTATATCTAAATCTGAACCGACTTACACGAAACTTACACACATCATTCTAGACATAATTCAGTGCGATATGTCAAAATTTCGTGAAAATCGAAAGATATATGGGGACTTTGGTGCACCATTTACATGATATCGGACGATAATATATATGGGAGCTATATCTAAATCTGAACCGAATTTTCAAAATTTCAATAGGGTTCGTCCTTGGGCCAAATAAATGAGCTGTGCAATGTTTCATCTAATTCGCATCAATATATAACACAATATATAACAATATAACACCCTCGCCCACTTTGGATATATACAAGACTCTAGACTCAATTTAACATGCAAAATTTTGTACCAATCGGCCATTGTTCGGGTCTGTAGTGCAACATTTCCTGAAAATCGGACGAAACTATATATGAGAGCTATATCTAAATTTGAAACGATTTTTCCAATTTCAGTATGCTTCGATCTGGGACCAAATTGCATCCAATTCGGATTATAAATGAGACCAGTACATTGTTTACAATTTTACATGAACAGACAGGCGAATGGAAGGGCAGATTCTATGCATATTACCATGTCCCCTTTGGTATCACCCTGTACCAGAGTATGATGAAGGGTATAAAATCATGCCTAAAATTCCCAAAATACAATTTTTTTAGTTGTCCCTTTAAATATGGGCAAACTGAAAAAGTGGACAAAATATTTACAAATGCAACAGGTTAGGTTAAAAAGAGTGGTGAAAAGAGGAGTGTTGTAAACACCACCACATATCCAATATAGGACATGTACTTAAGCCTGTCTGTTGTGCGCTTTAGAGAAGAAAGACCTTTAGAAAAAGTCATATTTGAATTTGATTGTGCTAAACTTCTAGGAATTATGTTTTGTTTGTGAATTCATTCAGTTTCTTCCATTCACATCCCCAATGGTCGGTTATTTCACGAAATATGTCATTTCCTAAGAATTGTATTCGGAAGCTTGAAAAGGCTGGGCAGTAGCACAGGAAATGTTCATACGATTGATATACTTTCTACACGGTCTACACCAGATGCTTCCCCCGTAACCATTCTTGTGTAAGTGGGCCTGAAGAATACCGATCAGTCTGCTGATTTCCTTTTTGATTGCTTTGCTTTAAGATTTGTTTTGTCTTGTACTCATTTTTGTCTCCCATAAAATTTTTGTATTTTTCCCAGTCCCCTCAATATTTTGGATTTAACTGTTTTATAGGTCGTTTCTTATGGCTTGTTTACTATCTGCTAGCTGGGAGTCATCTGTTTAAAAGCGGTTACCAGGGGACACGTTTGTTAGTGTTCCGCTATCCCATGAGTCCCTGTGTGGTATCATAGCTTCACATGTTGAGATTACTCTTATTTGAGGTATTCGGTCCGACTAAAAACTAATAATTAAGGATACGATTGTGCACGTACTATATTTTGGTGCGGGCTATTGCTATTTATCATCTTTCGATTAAAACCCCATTTAGAACCTACGGCTCTTCTGCAGTAGAACCAGCATCTGTGGACATTGTCTACCCTATTTGATATGATTATCACACTGTTTTCAAAGACGGGTTCTTCATACTGTCATATTTTTATCTTTATAGTGAAGATACATACATCTTGGTCAGGTTTACGTGAAGTCCCTCAGACTCGCCCAATTGTAGACGATGTTTAATGTTATCCCAACAACCAACCTAGACAACATTTTATATGAGGGCTGTGTACAAACCATGACCTAGATTGATAATTATCTGCATGTATAACAGCCTCCAAACTACACTTTAGTGGGGTACGGTAGCTACCGGTATTAATCATTAGTCACACTCCAATAAAATCAAAAGTATCAAATTATAGTCAATTCATATGCAATATGCACAAATTGTTCTCAGAAATATATAATTTAAAAACCCCGCTTATGTCTCTGATAATCCTTACAAAAATGTTATTTAAAATCCCCAAAATGCCGAACATGGGAGCTACGCCGCAAGAAAATCCAATATTAATAATTCTTGGTATATATGTTCTGCCCAATAAGAATTCATAATATTAGCCACATCGGTTGAAGCTAGCCTAAAGTCACCGAAACCCCGAATAATGGAGGTATCGCTCTATGGGGGTTACTACGAAACATATTGATAATTTTTGGTATGCAATTAGAAATAATTCGATTGTAAGGCTAAATTGGACCACCCAAAAAGTAGACAAATTTTTAGTAAAAAGGAGATGGCATTGCCAGGGAGAACCCGAAATACCAAATTTCAGCAAATTATGTTGAAAAACTTGTCCAAAGCTTCAAAATATCATATATTTAGGGTACCCATATCCCAGTAGTAGCAATGTATGTGCAAAATTTCTAAACTCTGTATTCAATATTACGAGATGTATTGTTAATCAGACTGACGGACATGGCTAAATCGACATAGAATTTTATGCTGATTAAAAATAAATGGGGTCTCACTCACTCCACCTTGTGCGTATAATGCATTTTGAAGAAATACAGATCTCATTATTAACTATAATCAAAGTTCTTTAGTACTTTTATTTGGCACTTTTTAAAATTTTTAGCACTTTCTAGAAATTTCAACAAAGTTTTGGGAACACTGGTGGTAATCCACAGCATTGGTGATAAAATCCCTCCCTGTGGTGTCCCTTCTCCCACTTTGTCCCTGATGTTTATGTCTTGTAGACTACAGTTTATCCATATATTCTTTAGCATGTGGCTGACCCAGGTTGTGATTATCTGGTCAACTCGTAAGGTATCTTAGGATTGGATAAGTGTTACAGTGCCAACATTATTGAAATGCATACAGCTAAACTAAATCATGGTTTCGAGTAAGAAAGACTATATGATACCCTTCACCATTTTGGGTATATTCTACATATGTATCCCAACAGACGTCGCCTTTTTGAAGGAACATTGACATGTAATTGAACGAACTTAAATATGAGATCTTTATCTATATCTAAACCGCCTAACATCAATCCCTACACATGTCATTCTACAAACCATGCTAAATTCTGAAAATCGAGTTAAAGTAAACTTGAGACACGCTATTTGATATCCATTGATTACTTGGTGTTTAATTAGCATGAATAGTTCGAAATTATATATGGAAGCTATGCTATATCTATATCTGAACCGATTTCAAGGAAACTTGCCAGAGATTAATTTATAATTTATATACCTTGTGCCAATCGGCCTAGCTAGTGCACCAATTACTTAAAATCAGAGGAATATATATATATATATATATATATACCTTAAATCGATCGAAAATATATATGGGAGCTATATCTAAATCTGAACCGATCTTCATGAAACTTAGTATACAGTATTATAAACGCACGCACTAATATAAATTCAGTACGCTATGCCAAATTTCGTGCAAATCGAATGATTTTCAGGGAATTTTTAAATAAAATCGGACGAAAATATATATGGGAGCTATATCTAAATCTGAACCGATTTTCACGAAACTTAGCACACATCATTCTAGACTTAATCCAGTACGCTATTCCAAATTTCGTGCAAATTGAAAGATATATAGGGACTTTGGTGCACTATTGACCTAAAATCGGACGAAAATATATATGGGAGCTATATCTAAATCCGAACCGATTTTCACGACACATCATTGAAGACTTAATTCAGTACGCTGTGCCAAATATATACAGGAGCTATATCTAAATCTGAACCGATTTTCTGGATACTTGACACACATCATTCTAGACCCAATACAGTACTCTATGCCAAATTTCGTCCAAATCGAAGTATATATAGAGACTTTCGTACACCATTTACATTAAATCGGAAGAAAATATTTATGGGAGCTACATCTAAATCTGAACTGATTTTTCTTAATTTCATTTCGGTTCGTCCTTTGGGACAAATAAATGAGATGTGCCAAACTTCATCCAATTCGAATGTGATTCTATGCATATTCTCAAAAGGCACCATGTGTCTATCTTGTTTCCTTCTGCCTGTACCACAGTATGGTGAAGGGTATAATAATTTTTTTAGTCGAATTTGTATCAGTCGGTAAAAGTCGAAGATCGATTTTGACAAAATCGATCATACGCAAAAATCGAAAAGTTTAAAAGTCGACTTTTGTGCTCGACTATGTATCACTAATATAGACGGTGTCGTTATAAACGATTTCGACCATATATTTTAAATGTCTATTTCATTGTGGAGGCGTACAAATTTCTCGACCCGACCAAACAACAATAAAGAACTCTCATCAATTGTAGTTAAAATATATGTTTCAAATATTTTATATAACTTTGCTATGTTATTTGTATTCTGTTTAAACCGCATCCGAATTACAAATATCCCTTATAGATGTTATGCCATATTTAACATAACATGTTCTTTTGGGACCTATGTAGTTTGGGATATACCGGATATGGTTTTGTTCCTTACTTTCCTAGTTTCTACTTGTACAATATATTTTATATGTACATATATTTAACCTTTATTTAAAATATATGTCAACTGCATATTTCATGTAATGTTCGATTTTAAATACTTAAATAGCTGCAATTTAATTGTTCGATTGTCTTGTACAAAATTCATACTATTTAATTATTATAACCTAGGAATGGAATAAGGAAATTAAGTAAACTAGTTAAGAATGTTTCTAATGAAAATAGCCTTTATAAGAACATGAAACTATTTCGATACGGTTTCATTGCTTCGAAAGGATCTGCAGTAAAGCCCACAACGAGCAAGGAATGCAGTACCACAATTTAACTACATGTACATCTTTGTTACACATGCGAATGGACACACAATCAGATATAGAGGAAGTTCCTTTGTGTGTGTGTGTGTGTGTGTGTAAAAATTGAGCTAATATACAGACAATATTAGAGATGACAATTTCTAAAATTAATACACAAATTAGCATTGACATCTCATAAGAAAAACCCCTCCAAGAATATTTTCAATATAAATAAATATTTTCAATAAAATATAAAATCCCAAATTTTAGTACTACATACATAACATACATAATGCTTAAATATTCCCTTTTGAGCCACTGTATACAAAGCCTCAGTCACACACATACATATATCATGTCATACATTACCTTGTGCAATAAATCGGCCAATAGATGTGTCACATAATTCTCTATACGCTGCCACAGATTCATTGTCTCTGTTAATGCCGTAAAGACATGAGGCGTTACGGCGTATGCAATTGGATTTCCTGCCATTGCCAGACTTCCTGTATAGAAACCAACCGTATTGATAAACATGAACGGTAGACCCAAACGATGTACGATGCCCAAAGCACACTCCGGAAATGCACCATCAACAATGGCTAAATGGAATCTTTGTGTCAATAATTCATCAGTTACGGTAACTCCAGTGTGGTCATCGGATTCTAACAAACTGTTGCATGCCTATATTTTGTGTATGGGTCCATGAATGGAAAATGTATGTGTGCGTGTGTTTAAAAGGGAGAAGAATATGAAAAATACAATCACATGTTAATGATAGTATTAGATCGAGTAAAAATTTAGGTGGGTAATTTGTCACCAAACGATTGTAGATGTAAACATTTCAAAAAAGATAATTGCTGTACTGTAGTTTAGGTGTAGTTAGATGTGCTTTGATTGAAATCAACAACGAGGAAAAAATGTTAAAAAGTTTTGAAACTAGGAAACCATCAGTTGGATGATGAAGATTCGAATATTATTTAACGTCAACATTTGTCAAATTTAGTTGTTATACCTATTATTTTTAGCCGCCTGAGTATCCACAAAGATAGTCACCGGTTCAACGATCTCTGCATCTAGACTTTTTATCAATTCCGCTGCTTTCCAAATAGCGAAGATCTCAGCTTGGAAAACACAACAGTTGCTATCCAGCTTGTAGGTAAGCTCAAGGGCTAGCCTTTCACAGTAGACGCCAGTCCCTGTACCTTCTCCAGTCGTCTCTACTAGAGTTAATGACATCTAAATCGTCTAATCTCAGGACTGGTGATATATAGTCGCTTAGTTTTACGCATTGGTACAATGCCATACCTAGTTCGTTCAGGATACATCCATGCTCGTAGGTACAATTTTGCCATAGATTTTGTTCATGCAGCCTTAGGGCACTATGTGCTACCTGACACTTACTGCTGGGACCCAGAGCCCTTCATTTCAGCATTGCGTTCAGAGCTGCTTGTGGGGTACTCCTGGTGGCTCCTGTTATTAGAATCGATGTCGACTTCCGGTGCCACCAAACAAGAGAACCAAAAAAAAAAAAGAATGGCCCCTACCACTTTGTTATTTAACCAGTGTATAGTCGTTAGTTTTAGCCACCAACTTTTCCCAATGGAGTTCTTGCATGCATAGAGAGTAATCTGCCCTCTCTTCATCCGTTCCTGTTCCATCGTAATTGACAGTCCGGATTGTGCCAAGATATTTTCTTCGGTTTGTGTCGGGGTGTGCTCAACAGCTATTTCCATAGCATTTTGACTCGGGTTAGGCTTTGGATCAGAAGTCAGCTTCAAATATTTGTCAGAAACAGTGGGCTTCGCCGACTCCACTACTTTGCTCGATTCAGTGGTCTTCAGAAGTTTTTGACCGAGCTGTCTGTTTCGGGAGGGAGTTCCTGTCCATCTGGAGCTCACCATAAATAGCGTGCACGTAAGTTCTTTCGAACTCCCTTACGAATATCATCTTGCCTTGATGAGATGAACCTCCCTCTCCGAAAGCAAATTCGCATCTCGCCCTACGAATTTGTTTATAGTGCTTCGCATCGGATGCTTCTCGGGCAGTTCCGACATTTGAATCTTTGTCCGTTCATCGCTTCAGTTGCAGTCTGCCTTTGAAGCTTATTGTCGGCATGTGCCGACACAGCACTTCTTGGAATCAGACTCGGTCGGTCAACAGGGTCTAAACTTCCTTTGTTGATGCCACAGCAATTCTCCTGAGTAGACTTGGCCGGAATCACTGTGGTGTCCAGCTCATCATCATTCAGGATAAGATTTAGTAGTAGTTCCTTGAGAAGTGTATCCCCACAAGCCTGTCCACTTGGTCGTAGAGTTTCCTACTCTGTTCCTCTAGATTATCGTGTCGCATGTAGGTCGTCGCCTCCCAGAACTCACATTGTCCTCACATTGCGAATGTTAAACACAGTCCTCCCTAAATATCAGCATACAACAAATTACCATGCTAAATTCATTATCAAACTCTTTACACTAACCAATAGAAATCGGAACGAAGCAATTAGTTTTGTAACGACAACAGGCAATAATGTTTGCTGCCCTAAACAGACACGACACACTGAAGCAATAATAGAAATGCCTATACGCTGGAACATAGAATGGACAACTACGAACGAGTACAACGACAATAAAACATCAGGCACATATGACAAAATTACCTCAGCTGGATATCGTAGTGCCTGCCAAACGGGCACTGGACGTTTGTGGGCATAACGTGCCCCTACCAAATCCCAATCTGTGTAGTTCTGAATGTAATGGACCAAATGCATTGGTGTAATTTCCTTAAGGCCATCTATGTGAAAATCAGCTTTAAATCCACTGAGGAAAGTTACATGGTGTCCCCTTTAATTTGACAAAAGAACAAAGCACACGAGGATATCAGGGACAATGAAACAAACAAAAGAGAAAGAGAGATATGATGCTGATTATGCACTTACTTTTCGATAAGTCCTTTGGCCAATTCCCAAAATGGTATTTTATGAGATTTTGTGCCACCCATTGTTATCATGAGAATGTGTTCGGCATTGCATAATTGTAATGAAATTAAAGTCATCATCAAAATCAAATTCATTTTTCGAATTTTTTTCTTTTTTAATTTTATTATTTTATAGATTGAGATTTAAAAAATGATAAATAAGGAAGACACGTCGTCGATATTCCAACCAGTTGATAGAAAATAGAATGGAAATTAAATCACACACAAATTTCCTAAGAGACAACGAAAACTTATCGACTCGAACTAAAGTTGATGACTATCTTCGTTACGCTTCGGTCATGTGGTATTTATTATTCCAGTCACGACACTTAACCGGACATAGTCGGCAGGGATTAGATGTTACGTGTCTATTTAAGGAAGTATTATTTATAGATACATATCCACATATATGTATATGAGTATTTAAAGAAAATCAATTTTTTATACACACAAAATACCTTTGGTATGATGACGTTGAAAGTTTTGGAACAACAATTTAATTACAGGACAAATAATCCTCTCAAACTTGATGGGAATAATTGTGTGTATGTGTATTAGTTTGGATCGAAATAATAATGGATCTATGATTATGATGTACTTTTGGGAAAGATAAAGAAATAAACCAAGTATGAAATCCTAGACAATAATGTATTGAAACAACTTGATTGGAAAAAAGGAGAAAACAAGTAAAAATGTGACAGAGAACTTTATATGGGGGTTATACAAACATGTGGACCGACATTGACAATTTTTGGTATGATAACTTTACATCCAATGAGAGCTCAAAATATCAAATTATAACCTAATAAGACTAATCCATGGAAAAACCTAACAAAGTTCTGTTAACTCATTAATAGAGCTATATGTTATAATAAATGTTTTTAACGGTGGTTTTGGTATATCTTTCACTTATATATTTTAACTGACCACCGATTATTCGGTGTGGTGGAGAATTCGAGAACGTTTTCCAAACGAATTGACTATATTTCAGATTTAATTATGGTATAATATCGTTTTATGTCCGAAATATTGGTCCTAGACCCACCTTTAAGTATACCGATCGTCATATCCCGACTAGCTGAGACGATCTAGACATGTGTGTCCGTCCGTCTGTCCACTATAATTTGTAAACACAATACAGGCCACAGTTATGGACCAATCTTCACGAAATGTTGCATGTAGAATGGGTTCTGGTCAATGAAGACCCCTATTGTTTTTGGTAATGATCGATTAATATTTAGGGGATGAAATGGACCAAATACTTAATTTTTGTCGGTTTTTCTGGGCTCTCCAGAGGCCGCGGTTATGATCCGAACATCGTGAAATTTTACATGGAGAGGGGGGTCGGGCAAAAGAATAAGCATGTCTGTTTTGATAACGATCTTTCAATATTTAGCGGGTCAAATGGACCCAAACTTCTGTGTGAAAAATTACGAAATTTTGATTCTGGGGCGTATATACTTGCTCCTGAAGGACATATACCCGAAAAATTTATACCAATTATACCAAGGTGACTATGTGCATAGTATTAACATTACCCCATTAGAGAACGGAAATGTCGCGCTGATCGCTTTGAAATTGTACATGAAGTTCCGGTTATGGTCAAGGACGACGCCTATAGTTTGCAGTAAAGTTGAGATTTCATTCAGATCTTTGTCAGATTTTCTAGTCGCTCTAGAGGCAATTATTATATGCAGAACATCACATATTTTACAAGGTGAAGGGGATCTGACCAAATACTTAGAGCGGTTGTTTAGATGATGATCGGTCAATATTCAAGATCTAAAGAGTGTGCAAATATCACGAAATATTGCCCAGGCTCAGAATATAGAACCGCAGAAAGTTTACTTTTCGTGGTAGTTGTGTAGGGTATCATATGGTCGGCCCCGTCCGACTATACTGCTCCGCTCACTGGTTTTTTGTTATGATTGATCCGCCAGATTTTGAAAATCAAATAGAATGAAACCACTATTTGATTTTCAAAATTTTTCACTTTTTTTTTCATCTTTGAATTTGACCTGCCTGTCTGGAGACTAGAGTGATAAAAACAGACAGACGGACATGTTTAAATCGTCATAGAATTTTACGCAAATTTTTACTTTATAGGATCGGAAATGATTATTTCGATGAATTACAAACAGAAAACCCTCCATACTATGGTGAAGGTTACAAAAAGTGTGAAAAGCCCATTAGTATTCAGATTTTTAATTTGCTTTTGTGATAAATATATTTTTGTTTTAAAATAATTTAGAAAAAACCCCAAATCCATGCACTTTAAAATTAAAAATAAAACGAGAACTCATAAAAAAGTTGATTTCTGATAGAAAAACTGCGAAAATGACCTTGTAAAACTGGACAAAAATAGACGGAGTTGTTTAATCTTAATGAAACATTGTACATGGAATATGTGGGACTAAAGAATGAAAAATACAATGTTTGGTTAATATCAGTTAAGATTTGGATATAACCCACATATATATATATATATATATATCTTATATCTTCTATATATATAAAAATTTCGTGTATGTTCGTGATCGCTAAACTCAAAAACTACTGCACCGATTTTGATCAAATTGTGTGTACAGGTTCTATGGGGTGTGAGGAGTGTTCCTGTGTAGTTTGAAGTTCATCCGACGGATGGCGCAATATTTAGTTTTTTGTGTTTTTGCACCGTAACTCAAGAACTACTGCACCGATTTTGACCAAATTGTATGTATAGGCTCTATGGGGCGTGAGGAGCGTTTTTGTGTAGTTTGAAGTTCATCCGACAGATGACGCAATATTTAGGTTTTTGCACCGTAACTCAAAAACTACTGCATCGATTTTGAACAAACTTTACGTATATGCTCTATGGGGCGTGAGGATATTTTCTGTTTAATTTTAGGTTCGTTCGACAGATGGCGTCCTATATAGTTTCTTTTCGTTTTGCCCGATTAGAGATTGGGTGCTTAATCGACGTTAAGTATTCCGACAGCAATTCATACATAATTGGTGTCGGAGTCAAACGAAAAAACCATTATAGAAATGATGTAAACAAATCATCAATTCAGAACGGCTGGACCTATTTGACTAAAAAAATCTTTCTGTTGTCTGTAATTGAAGTGAGAAGGTTTTTATGAAAGAAAATTTTGAGAAAAATAAGCGAAAATATTGAAAAACATATTTTGAAGGAACGGCTGGAACGATATGCCTACCATTATGTGGGACGTATACCATAAAGTACTATACCGACAATTTACAGAGAAGTTCCTTACCCTACATGAAATACCGAATTAATGGCAATTTATGGGGTATTTGTTACTACTACTTTGTACCTAAAATCAGACTATGCAAAATATGGATCATAGATAAGGAGGCTTAAAAACGCACAATAATGGCGAGCCAATTTTTCTATGTTACAAAACCAACTCATGGCATATACCCCACACGATATCTGAATCATTTGCTGAAACTTGATCATATTGTAAATAGGAATCGAAACCAGCTATATTTGTGAAAAAATTGCAATACATTTACATTCGTTGCTATGTTTAGGATATAGCAAAATGTCCTTTTAAAATGGTCAATAATTGCTACAAATGATTACAAATACCTCAACAATTTAGCTATGGAAGGTATTATTGAAAATGTTATTATATTTGGGAAGTATAAATATATAAATTCGAATCCTACATAGAGACAATTGCGCATAAGATACCCTTATATGTGATTTTATTGTTCCCCAAATATATTTTTCATGATGTGAAAAATGTTGCCATTGATAACGACGGCACCAATTTGACTCACATTTTCCTACGATTGTTTTTAACACGTTGGCGGACAATAGAAACCAGTGAAATTCGAAAATTGACACTATATGTTTTTGTAATTTTTAGAATATTAGAAGTATAGTTATACTCTTTCTGCTTAAATACACTTAATTTTGATTAATTCAGCACCTTTAATTAGGTTGCGGCTACAACCGTCATGGCGCCAGCGGATTCTAGACCCTATGTAATGGGACGATGGCGGCTATAACAGCAAAAAAAATGTATGATCAAAAAAAATAAATAAATGACAAATAAATGTATTATAATTTTATAAGTATTATACATTATTTTCGGTATGCCATGTGCTGCTACAGCCGCAGTGTCTAAAAACGACAGTTTCGTATTGGACGGCTATTGCCGTCATGTCACATAGTGAACTTGAACTTGACGGCTATACCAACAAAAATTTTGAGAAGAACCTAATAAAGTCGGAGATTGGGATTCAGCCTGCCTATTTTGCAAACAAAAAAAAAACAAAACAAAATATTACTTAATATATTGAGGTATCAGTAAATGAAGGTTTACCGTTGTGAGGAAAATATTATGCGTATTTTTTATTGCGGAAATTTCACATAAATAAAATGGTAAAAAGTTTCTGAAATATATTTTTCATGGGGTCGTTAATTTTTACAAAACCTAAATTGATGCAATTCGGACACGACAAAACAACGTTTGCCGGGTCTGCTAGTATATATAAATATATATATATATATATATCACCTATTTCGCAGCTGAGTGTCGAAGCATATTCTGAAAAAAAATCAGTTCTGATTCGGATATAGCCCCAATATATATTTCACTTAGTCAATTTCGTTCCGAGTTCCTTCTAATTCGGAACATTATAGATTCTCGACAAGGTCTGTAAGTACATTAAAATCGATTCAGAAATATTACTCACATGAATTTGTTTTGCAAATTTAATTTGACATTTCAGTTTTTTTATCAAATTTATTTCAAAATTATATATTTTAAAATTACTCTCAGAGTACAAAATAATTTGAAAAGTTCGGGAACGCAAATCTAGTAAATATTACAAAATTAGATGGCAATACTTCAAAATCAACATAACAGCCAATCAGAAGTAGGCATTCCTGTTTACCATTTTTACTCGGCCAAAGAGAACGCCATTTTGTTTTGTGCTGTCTTAAATTTGATTCAATGTTTTACCAGTTTTGTCGGTTGAGGAACGGTTTTTGAGTGAAAAGTTACAAAAAATTTATAATGAGTAGATTCTTTTAGTTTCTGGAACGGAACTTATATTTATTTATTTTTTTTTTTTTTTAATGTTAA